TGAACCATAATCATGATCAACGGCTACACTACCCGCCAAACAAAAGACAAATGGTGGGAGATTCCGTTCTCGGATTAATAATCCTAATGGCCCGGATAGACCGCCATTTCACATTGCAAAAGTTTGCTTGGTCCAGAAGAGAATAAGGACTTAAGGAGACGCCTTTGAAATTTGAAGAGAAAACAGTGTTGTAATTCATGGTTCCTTTTTATCATTCACGCACTTGCTATATTTTTCTGCCTTTTCATTCTGCAGTAGCTGCTGAATGAATGTTTTCCTGTCTCTTATTATTATTCCCTTTTCATTTATGCTCCCCAGGATTTTGTGAGCAGAACCCCATACTGGTTAGAGCAGAACCCGAGGGATGTGGTTGTTTAACAGAAAAGGACCATCTGGGTTCTCACCATCTTCCACGGCTGAGGAAGTCACTCATGGGATTGATGGAACTGGGCTCACTGCCATTGTTTCAGGTCATTCTCTTATCTGGGTTGTTTCAAATTTTCAATTTTTGTGTAGAATGACTGAGTGGGTGGGATATGGGGTATGAATCTTTTCTTGGCTCATATTTGTATCTCCATTATTTCTTTTTATTGGATTGACAAGTCAAATTCTGGACTTCTATGTTGTCTGGGGTTCTGGCATAGTATTGGACGAGTTCTGTGATTTTCAGGAATTTTGCTTTTGTAGTTGAGTGTGGTGTTGATAGGGGAAATTCTGTTCTTCTTTCTGTAGTTGTTGTCACTGATTCGCTGCCAAATTCCTTTAAGGGGTTGGGGGTCAATGTTTAAAATCAACATGAAACATTAGAGAGTTGTGGATTGAAATGTGGCATAGGTCTTTAATTCTTTCCCTTTTTCCCTTAATTATGTTTTACCATTTAAATTTTAGAATGTGCATATATATTTTAGGTACCACGTGATTTGTTGGTTGGCAGTTGGTAAATATTACAACAACTAACTGCCCAACATGCTAATTGCCAAATTGTTATTTGTCTATGCTTAATGTGGATATCATGCAAGTTATTGCCACTGCCTTGGTCAGTACTGCACAAGAATATTTACTTCTGAGTTATTTTCCTGCAAGAGTTTTCTGTTTTTGTTAACCGGGATATTTTCTCTATCATGGCCACTGTAATCGTAGGAGCATCTAGTGGCATTGGTACAGAAACTGCACGTGTTCTTGCACTACGTGGTGTCCATGTAATTATGGGTGTCAGGAATATGGCTGCTGGTAGAGATGTTAAAGAAGCAATTGTTAAGGGAATCCCTTCTGCTAAAGTTGATGCCATGGAGTTGGATCTCAGTTCACTGGCATCAGTGAGGAAATTTGCATCAGATTTCAATTCCTCAGGTCGTCCACTGAATCTCCTGATGTAAGAATTGGAACCTTTTCAACATTTTATTTCTAGGCTAGAGATGTGTAATGTGTTTATTGTCATACTCATCTGCTTGTTTTTCTCCTTCATTATACTGATCACCAACTTTCCTGTTTGCTTTCCCATTTCTGCATAAAAAACATAATTGTGCACTATGGTATCTTTCTAAGCCTTTAAAGTATGGAGAATTACTGAAGGATGTGAGTTTTTCTTCCTCTTTGTTGTTAGTAACAATGCAGGAATCATGGCCACTCCTTTCAAGCTTTCCAAAGACAGCATAGAACTACATTTTGCAACAAATCATCTGGGTATGTTGCATATATTTTGAGGATATTTCTCATGAATGGATATTCTTGAGCTCTTCAGTATATGAATAACCTAAGTTTCTTCTTGATTAGGCCCTGCAGTTTCTTTCCAATACTACAGTGTATATGTATCAAAAATGAACCTAAAAATAGAAAAGGAGTAATCTCTATTAGATCTTCTTAAGCTCGGGAAAGCAATTTATCTTCTTATTGATTAAAAAATAAAATATGCACAAAAAAATGGTTGTCTTAATCTCATGTTGGCCGCCTAAAACTTCAAATATAAATTTGAACCACTACACTGGCTATTTTGTGATGCACTCAGAATTTGGTGACAGATGATAAGAAGAGGAAGAAATTGTTTTACTGTTTCTGAGGTCTGTACAATAAAGATAAGTCCTTAAACACTTTGCAGGTCATTTTCTTTTGACAAATCTCTTGTTGGACACAATGAAGAAAACTGCACGGAAAAGTAAAAGAGCAGGGCGAATTGTAAATGTTTCATCAGCAGCTCATCATTTGACGTATTCTGGGGGAATTCGTTTTGATAAGATCAATGATCAATCAGGGTAATACTATAGATACCTCTTTATCTTCAAACTTTTCACTTCTTGTTGGTCCTGGATTCCTTTTAAAAAGAAGGGTTCTTATGAAAATTCTAAACATTTTGCATATTTGAATACAGACTGCATTTAGGGTACATTAGTTGTTTGTTAGATTTCTTGTTGCATCTTTTGGTAATATGTAGATTAATTGATAAGAAGAAAGCAGTGCAGTCAAGTCCATTGCAAACAATCATGAAGTCACAAATGTGAAGAGTTGCATAATCTTTCCCCATTTTTTGATTACTTTGTAGTTGGGAAAGAAATTAGTGGGACTAGTTGCTGATGAATTAAGCCTGCAGGGTGGGAATGTTGAATATACTCTTCGTTTAGAATATGTAAAGAGAAAAAGTCTGTATCATTGCTCATAATTTAAAACATCTGGAATATGCAGGTTTATAACCATCCCAAGTAATATGAACAGAATTTATGGTTTCAGCCAATGGTTCAAAACCTGATTTATTATTTATATCTTTGATTTTTTTGCCTGTATACTTGTGGGAACCTGAGTTTTGAGGATTACTTATTCACAGAATGAAGACATTTGCTTTCATTTTATTGCCCTTGGGTTTGATAACGTACAGGTACGGCAGATTTGTTGCATATGGCCAATCAAAGCTAGCTAATGTTTTGCACGCTAATGAACTTGCAAGACGTTTTAAGGTATGTGATAATCTTATTACTAGATTCAAAACAAAAAATATTTTCAGTGGTATAAGATCATTGCACATAGGTCATGATTTCAATTCTTCTGTTTTGTTTGCAAAAGGCTTTATAAATTTCAATTTGGGTCCCCTGGCTGCTGACTTTGCCCCATATATTTAACTTTTGTATCTGGTGACCTTTCCTCTCATGTTTTTGGTTAGCATTGCAAATATGGTGAGTCTGATCATGTTTAATGCCTGTATCTGCTTTAGCATCAAAATTTCATATGAATCTTGGTTTTTCTTAAGCATCTCCTACTCTTGTTTGAAGGAGTTGCAAAGTGAGATTGTTATTTTCCTTACCAGCCAGTGATGTTGGGATTATGTCTATTTCCAGCACCCTAGAATGTAAACTTTTCAGAAGCCTAGCAAGTTTTCTAGCAAGTATGGTGTCTTTCAATATTCCATTTGAAAGAGATGATTGAACTGCATCATTTTGAGATTGGCATTAATTGCTGTGTGTTCCTAAACTCTAAACTATCTCTTTGTGTTAGCATGTTGTTACATATACTTCGGAATTGGGAGACTGCGCATGTGCAGCATGCTGCACAGACTTGGGAATTGGGGATCAAGCGTCTGTTGTTGATTTACTTAAAAAATTGCAGCTAAATCTTTTTCAGTTAATTGTAATATCTGGCCTCTATTTGATAACTGCTAATAGATTGTCTTATGAGCACCTAGATTTCAAACCATCTATTTCTTAAGGTAACTAACCGTATTTACTAGCACATTCTGCTGAACTAAAAATTTTTCCACTGCAAAGATTATACTTTCTAAATTGAACCTCCTCAGACTTCAGTGTTTTTGTGTATCTGAACAGCAGATGATCAACTGCACTACTGACAGTATCAAATTTATATGTATGACAGTTTCAGTGTCATATGTGGACATTGACATATATAATGCTATTTCTCTCATAGCTATGCTATCTCTCAGTTCTCAAAACGGTGTTTCTTGACTGCCATGTAAGATGTGCATGATGGTTATTTCTATGAGCAGGAAGAGGGAGTGGATATAACTGCGAATTCACTTCATCCAGGAATGATTGCCACCAATATTGCGCGTCATATGGGCGTTGTCAACGGTAACTATTCAAGTGTTTGAACTTTGATGTTATGACTGTGATTTCTTAGATGTGGTTGCTTGTTGAGCATACAAGCATTGTTTTTCTTTCCTTGTCAAAGGAATCAATTAATGTGGAGAATTTTTGTTTCTGTAATTAATATCACATTCTGGTCACCACGGCCATGTGCATAACATTTTCAACTCACGTTCTTCCCTTTGGCTTGGAGCAGGCATTGCTGATAAAATTGGTAAACTTGTACTCAAAAGTGTCCAGCAGGTAAGCTTTTCACACAGTCATGTGTTTTATATCATCAACACTTGATATCATGCACATCCAGGCAAATACTAGAGAAGTTCTATGTGATATAAATCTGTTTCTTTTACATAATTGCTATTGCTCATCTTATTACAGGGAGCTGCTACAACATGCTATGTGGCATTGCATCCACAGGTAAAGGGAGTTTCGGGTGAATATTTTGTGGACAGTAATATTGGGAAAGCAAGCAAGAAGGGTAGAGATGCCGATTTGGCAAAGAAACTATGGGATTTCAGCATGAATATGGTTAAATGACATTGTCATGCCATGGTACTTGCTATATATCTACAAAAGGAAAAACAAATAAATAAGTGGTAGGGTGTGGTTATGGTCATTATTATTATTTTTTATTAAGATTATTAAACTTTGTTTAAGAAACATTGATTTTATTTAATTTGATTATATATTTAGAATAGTTAATAACTAATAGGATAATTAATGATTGTTATTTAATAAATTAAAATTAATTTATAAGGTGATATTTTTAAATATTATAGTTATTTATTTAAAAAAATTATAAACATCAATTAAATTTTAATAGTGTTAACAAAACAAATGATGGTTGTAACCACCTCTCAATAGTAGTGTATGCATTTTTGTTGTATGACTAAGGAGATGCATCCTCTCATATATTTTTCTTTTATTATGGGATATGTTAATTAGTTAAAATATTAACTGAGGGTGGGGAAAGATATTCAAACGCTAATTATATAGGTGAAAAAACATTATTTTATTAATTACTTTATAAAATTTTCTCTGCCTACTTTTATTAGTTTACTTACCCTACAATGTATTATATGCATGGTTGCGAAAAGTGTGCCTAGCTACCATTTAGGTTACACTTAAGCGCTAAGCCG